TTTTTTTTTTAATTTTTGTATAGGCTGTTGGTGGAAACATAATGACAGGAAGTCCGATATCAGATCTAAATCCAATATTTATGGCAGCTGGAGTAAAACTGAATGTTTCAAGTTTGAAGAACGGAGTCAGGCTTATTCCAATGGATCATACTTTCTTTAAGGGTTATCGACAAAATGTTGTTTCACTAGAAGAGATTTTAGTTTCAATTCAAATACCGTTTTCCGAAAAAGTATATAATATTCTGAAGATAATAAAACAGTATTGAACATTTTATAACACCATATTTTTCCAATGTTTTAGAATCAATACTTTATTGCCTATAAGCAAGCAAGAAGACGAGATGATGATATCGCTATTGTTAATATGGCATTAAATGTATTCTTTGAACCAGAAAGTAACGTCGTTAGTAAAGCATATTTAGCTTTTGGTGGAATGGCTCCAACAACGATTTTAGCTAGGAAAACTTGTGATATTATGATTCGAAGGTATTCTAGAAAATGTAATATTTATTTTTGAATTGTATCATAAAGGAAATATCAATGTAAAATTTTGTAGGAAATGGGACACAGATCTTCTAGAAAATGTTTATGATTCATTACTGAATGAATTGCCTTTACCAGATAGTGTTCCAGGTGGAATGGTCAAATATCGTAAATCTTTAACTCTAAGGTATAAATATAATTCTTTTTCATGTTTTTAAACCAGATATTATTTGAATACTATTAGTTTTTATTTACTTTTGTAGCCTATTCTTTAAAGGATTTTTACACATAGCTAAAAAACTTCAAGTATGTTTGCCAAAAGAAATCGAAAGTGCTGCAGAAGGATTTCACACTAAAGAACCAAAGAGTTCCCAATATTATCAAATGGTATCTATTGTTTAATTGATACATTGTTTTATAAATTTCTTTTTTGAAACTATATACTTTTGTAAATTAATATTTTATATATATTACGATAGGTTCCAAAAGATCAAGAGCCAAACGATTTAGTTGGAAGGCCAATTGTTCATGCCAGCGCATTTAAACAGGCAACAGGAGAAGCGATATACTGCGATGACATGCCAAAATTCTCTGATGAGCTTTATTTAGCTGCGGTTTTGTCTACTAGAGCTCATGCAAAAATTTTGAAAATTGATGCAACTAAAGCACTATCGTTAGAAGGAGTAGTTGCCTTTTATAGTGCTAAAGATTTACCTGAAGAGCAACAATTCTATGGTCCTATATTTCATGATGACCGAGTCTTCATGTTAGATATAGTGAGAATCCTTAATTTAAAATTCTTTTTCTAATCCTTTATTTAAAATCATAGAATAAATAAAAAGTAAACGTTTTTTTACAAGGTGACAAGTCATGGTCAAATAATTGGAGCAATCGTAGCTATTAATCAAGCTATTGCACAAAAGGCAGTCAGAATGGTTGAAATCGAATATGAAGACTTACAACCAATAATCATTTCTATAGAGGTATGATAGAAACATACATAAAATGTGTAAACTTTTTGAGAAATTATTCTTTAATAATTGCAGGACGCTATTAAACATCGTTCCTTTTTCGAACAAACACCAAAACATATAAAAAAAGGAGACATAGAAAAGGCATTTGCTGAATCAAAACATATTCTCGAAGGAGAAGCTAGAATGGGAGGACAAGAACATTTTTATCTTGAAACAAACGCAACCTTAGTGATTCCGAGAGAAGAAGACGAATTGGAAGTGTATAGTTCGACTCAACATCCTTCAGAGACTCAGAAACTCATTTCAGAAGTTCTAAATATTCGTGCTAATAAGATTGTGGTTAAAGTGAAAAGATTAGGTGGTGGTTTTGGTGGGAAGGAATCTCGTACTGCTATACTTGCTTTGCCAGTTGCTTTAGCTGCATACAAGTAATTATACATACACACAATAAGATAATAAAATATGACAAAACGAAGTTGTCTTTGTGCTGGATTAACAAAAGATTTTACTATATAACTTTCGCAGATTAAAGAAGCCAGTGCGCTGCATGTTTGATAGAGATGAAGATATTATGGCAACTGGAACAAGACACCCGTTTTTATTAAAATATAAAGTCGGATTTGATGATAATGGCGCAATTAAAGGAGCACAAGTTTATATCTACAACAATGCCGGTTATTCTCGCGATCTTTCTTCCGCAGTATGTTAATTTGTTTATTGATAATACCAAGATATTATATACATATATATATCTTTATTAGGTTCTAGAACGTGCAATGTTTCACTTCGAAAATTCTTATAAAATACCAGTGGTCGATGTATATGGTTTTATGTGCAAAACTAATATACCGTCCAATACGGCGTTCCGCGGTTTTGGAGGTCCACAAGGAATGTTTGTGGCTGAAACAATGATAAGACATATTGCAGAATATTTAAATAAAGATCCTATTGAGGTATAATCATGATTTAATACTTCATATAAAGGCATGAATTTCGTAATCGTTAAATAAATAATCTTAACAGGTGCAAGAATTGAATTTATATAAAGAGGGTGATACCACTCATTATAATCAAAAGCTTATTAATTGTACGTTACGACATTGCTGGGAAGAATGTTTTTTATCTTCAAATTATAATGAACGGCTTGCACAAATTCAAAAGTACAACAGGTACATTATATTTTTTCTGTTTT